ATTTGGTCATGGTATTACACCGGGCGAGCCGACCCATTCGTGCGAAGATGTTAAAGCGGGCTCTACCACTGTTAAAATTAAATTGTGTGTTTAAATTAAATCATTATTTTATTTGACAGAATTCTTAAATACCCCATATAACTGATGTACATAAAAACGTGAATATTTAGTGAACACGTTGAAAACACAAGATAGTTTAATTCAATCACGTAAAAACCATACAAAAATACTCTAAGTGAAACCAGGCCAAGAGTATTAACTGATAAGGAGAACTAAGCCCTAGCATACATACATAGTCTTAATTGACTTGCAAAAGTGATACTTTGATGCTAAAAACTTGTTTACATAGAAAACTAGCTGTTGCTCGCGACTTCACCCACGTAAAATTAAAAAAATAATAATCTATGATAACGTAGCTTTATAACGATGAAAAATTTTTGAATATCGGCCCAGTAGTTTTTGAGTTATGGGACTGGGCCCGCGAGAAAAAAAAATATAGGCTATGTTACTCACAGATAAATTTCCATTTTGACGGTGAAAGAATTTTAATATCGGCCCAGTAGTTTTTGAGTTATTTCAATACATACAAATATTCAAATCCTCTTTATAACATCAGTATATGTATATATTTGGCTACTAGTATCAAGAATAGTATGTTTTTCTACCATTCGTACATGCTAAAATTGTGCGATTAGTAACATTGAAATTGTTAAACACGTGTTAAATAAATGTTATATGCGTACAATGTAAACTTCGCGCTACCGAGTTTACACAAACGAGTATAAATTCACACCTGGTTAAAGTAAACAAAGACACTATAAGATCAAGTGCCATTAATCTATATTAATATTAAAAAGAGGAAAGATTTGTATTTTTGTATGTATTGAAATACTCAAAAACTACTGGGCCGATTTTAAAAGTTCTTCCACCGTTAGAAAGGTAATTTATCTGTGAGTAACACTATATTTTTTTTTATTTTCATGAGGACGAAGTCGCGAGCAACAGCTAGTAGTTAAATATTAAGAACGAGCGTCGGTGGTTTAAGCACTTGACTTGTAATCTACAGGTCTTGGGTTCGAATCCCGCCATGTACCAAGGTAATTTTCTATTTTTCGAAATTTCATTTCTCAGATATTTTATGTACTTTCAAATTATCGTTTTGCGTATTCGGTGAAAACTACTATTGTATCTTGCTAATTGTAATAAAAGTTCAAGACCGTTCCAATATCAATGCAACAAATTAAAACAATGGCCATCCGTACATTATAAATTGACACTTATTAAGATATATTACGCGAGAGTTTATTGACCTCCCATACAAAAATCCAACTTAAACCGGTTGAGAAACGCACAGAATTACTGTTGTATTTGACAAATGATGACAAGA